CCTTACGAGGTTACACATTGTTAAGCGATTATGTGGTATTGTCCGGAAAATTTCATAATATAAATACTATTTAAGGGATCTTTATTGAACAATAACCACTATTTAGTAGACGCAACCTTGTTTTCCAAGGTCCCAAACTAAATTTTTTATTATTTTAAAACTGTATTGATCGGTTATGTAAAATAACGAGCAACATATTACACATATATAATTAAAATGCATAAATTGATATATAATTAAAACTTTGTTCGGAAACATTTCAACGTCTTTACGTTTGAGCCTTCAGGAACAACAAACAAAAAATCACGTTTGTGTTTCATCAGAAAGTTTAAGACCGATATCGGGCTGTCGAACTTGTACAAAGCTGGGAAATCCCCGCTAAAATGTATACATCCGCTGTACATGAATTAAAGCAGGTACACTAATCGATCTTGCACTATTTGTAAAATCATAAAGAAATTTTTGCTCATTGTCTCGTTTATTTTTATCTAAATTAAACCAAATTTAATGACTTCTTCCTTTACCAATGTGAAAATAACCTTAACAAATTTATGACTACAGGTAAAAACGAATTGTCCAAGCGGAAATTATATTAAGATTTTGCAAATCAGCAGAATTACTCGATTGCTATTTATGAAAACTCCATAATTTATAAATAAAAAGCATTTTCTCTTAAAAAACCTTTAGAATTTTCAGAAGCAGTCGTTCTAGTAAAAAGATAGTTTACCACTAAAGACTGCAGCCCGTTTTCATAAGATTAAAACAAAAGGATAAGTTCTGAAGGCATCCTTACTTTCACATGCTGCAATACGCACTTGTTTAAATCATTTTTTGCTCACCATTTATATCTTTACCATCTCAAATCCCATTTATTTTTTTGATACGTTAAAAAGTGTATGCGTTGACTCTACTGCGTCTATTAACATTTGCACAAAGTTTTATGTTGCAAACGTTTTATATAATTTAGCGGAAGAGAATTTTCGGGGGTTCCCCACATATTTACAATATCAATGAAGTAAGCATTATTTAGTTTAAACGTTTCGACATGTGTTATCAGGCTTAAGGTGTACAATTTACTAAGTTGCAGTTTTATCTACGTATGTGGACATATAGAGTATAGAGAAATCACGAATTCATTTTTGAAACATATTCACACTGATTAAACTATCCTTACCTTAATTGATTTCTTCATCATTTTGAGACGTTTTACTGATTTTTACATCTACCACTGACTTCAGTGGTTTTTGATATGTACAAAACGTCTACAACTAGCACATATGCGTATCTTTTTTGTTTGTGCATGCTCCCATATAAACCGATGAAACATTTTCCTTTTGTCCCTTATACTTGATCTATTCTATAAAACTATCATAAATGCCTCTCAAAATTTAAATCCTCCTATGCATGGTAACTAGTCTGAGTAATATACAATATTCTTGACTTGCAATTCAGCCATGTTAGTGCTATAATACAAAAGAATATTTTATCAGTGTCATTGTTGGCATCAGCCGACGAGGGCGTGCAACATTGTTTAATAAATCTAAAGAAAATGGTTTCACGTCAAGAATATGTCACAACACCTCCCGTAGCAGTAAATTTGCTCTTCTTGCTGTTTATGTTTTCTTCGTATGCAATCTATGTCATGGCGCCATGTTGGATGATCTTATCACAGCATTTTCCATTTTTCCTTATATATAATGCAGATGATGGCAAAAATTCCATTGTTCTCTCACTCCCAAGAGAGTAACATCACACAATCTATACTATTGATACTTCATAAAAATAAGGTGTGCACTATGATTTATACGTGGCACACTTGATAGTGATATTTGACATGATTTGATGAAACTATTTGAAAGTAATCTTGAAATTTCCATAACGCAATAGCTCATTATCAACATCAAATAATATATTTTTTTAAGGTTTTTCTTCAAACATAAGCAAGCTATAATTAGACAACTAAGATTGCGGCATTTTCTCAGATGTTAGTAATTTTCAAGCTCAAAGCTTCCAGAGTCCCAGTCGGCAATAGATACCAGTACTAAACTAAACCGAAACGATTTATAATTGCATAATGCATAGTCTAACTTCGGGAAGATTTATGATAAGAGCTAGCAAATAGTGGAAAGTTATGTACGTTCTAGACCACCTTTTCATATACAGGTTGTGTGCATGGGCTGTCATGATAGGGAATAATACAGCCTTCGTGGTAAAGTCTTCAGAGCCATAGCCTATCCGGGGAAAGTTAGAGTATGAAAATGTTGTAATTGGGTGTTAATTTCAAAAAGTTTATAAGAATTTTTCATCGTTGAATTTTCTTTGCAAATTTTTAAGCAACAGAGTCGTTTTACTTACTTGAGCCTTGATTTTCGGACGATTTTTAAAAACGTGCGTAAAATTTAAACTAAACATACTCTGAAAGATTGTCTCCCTGTGAATATATTACATGTGAACTGCTAACACATTAATCCTTAATGCGTTGGCGGTGAGTTTTACTTGGCTATAAAGAGCAATATATGGAATATTATGCATTTCATGTAGTGATATAAAATGGTCATTTTATTCTCCATGTTTTCAAGCTTTATTGAAAAATATACAATGTTCAAAGGTCAAACTTGAACTTTTGGTCAAAAATTTAAACATTTTCCCGCTTTGAGCCTCAATTTATCTTTTCATAGACAAACGAATATAACATGAAAAATTGTGTTCAGAATTTTTACTTCACTGTTTCTAATATGGAAAAGTAACTTTTTGCGTTCGGTAGAATGGCTTGGAGCATGGATCATTTGTACAGTGCTTGGGTAAGGCCTTGATCATAAAAAAATCATTTCATGTTTATTTAATAATATCCTGTAACTCAAATATTGGTCGAACAAAAATATGCAAACAAAAGTATTTGGTATGCTTTTATTGATTCAACATAAAATATATATTGAACAAAAAGGATATATTAAGTTACAAAAATATTTTATAATTGAAGAAAAATTACTACCTTGATGATGCAGTTCCAAAAAATATCGTTTATTGAAAAAAATTGCTAGCAGTAATCAATTTACCCGTTTGCTATTGAATTTCACTATTCTTAAAAACATTTTGAAGCTTTAACAAAATTTGATATATATACTTCTTATTCAACAATAAAAACTTTTACTCAACAAATCTGTCACTATAAAGAGAAATCATTCTGATCATCGAATAATGCCATAACGCACTCTAAATGTCACACATTAAATGTCTTAGCAGGCATTTAAAAAGTGAATTATGCACAAACACAAACCATCATCACCTAACAAAAGCATTGATGCCACACTGTTACAGTCGACAAACATACCATTGGTAATTTGAAGCACTGTTGACTGAGTAGTACTTTCATAAAACAAGAATAATGAAGAAAACACTAAGAAAATAAGATAAATGTCGTAGCTACATACATCATTTAACCAAACTTCGCCGGCATTTGACACAAACACACAAACACTCGTCATATGTATTGCAGTTTAAAGAAAAACATCAATTTCCGTTTGGAAACATCACAAGCCTATAATCACCACAATGTACATTTACACAGCCACTTCGAGCTTACGCACAAAACTCAGTATTTCAATTACTTAAGTCTGTTTTAAACGTCGAACTTTACATGCACCAAACCCATTAAAAACAAAAGAAAATGAGACAAACTTCCTTATTATCTTTTGTTTTAATGCGTTTGGTCCATGTAAATTCGACGTTTGAACCAGGACTAAAAAACAGAATTACTCTTCACAAAGTCGCAATTTTTCCACTTCAAATACCATGCACTATACAGACACTGGCGTCAATCGAATGTTAATTGTAAGGGGACGTTTCACATATTCTGTTAAGCAAGACTGATGTCATTTTAAAGTGAAATCATTTTCAAAAGAAATTAGCCAGGCAATGACAGAATATATGAATATTGTCACCATACCCCTAACTAACGTTTGACTGACGACAATGTATAAAGCACAAAGTGTGGAAAAGAGCCAATTTCCAACCTTTTCAATCAACAATCAGCTTAATAAACAGTGGATCATTTTTAATATACTGACGATATCTTACATTTTCCAATGGCACGAAGAGAGGTGATTGAGAAGCGATATTCATATCTGACGTTGGTCGCTAAATGAGGATCTTTGGAAATCTAAATGAAAAGAATCAATCACGTAATCACCATTTCCTTTATCATTAACATCATCATTTTGGAATTTTAAAACATTTGTGTATTAGATGCTTGTACATTATTCTATTTAAAAAGGCCTTTTTTGACCATTAACTGATTTGTCAATCTAATCTAAACACTTGCAAAACCGTTCTATAGTGGCTAAATTCTCTCTCGTTTCTCCAAAATTGCAAATTTATCGCAATCAAGGAAACTTCTACGGACAACTGGGCGCATTCACAGTTCACTATTGCTATTACCGCGACCCTCAAGGCTCTCCATCCTGTCATTCATATGTTCTGGAGCATCTTTTTCTTTTGAAGTCTGTGAAAGACAAAGATAAAGAAGGAATATTTTTCTAAGGAAAGTATTTAGGAAAATATTTATCATCGATAAGCATTGTTCATTAGCAAATATACTCTAACTACAGTTGGATTTTACGAAAAATTTCGTGTCTCAAGGATAAGGTCTGTTTCCAAATCAACAAAATAAACATGCTTTTAACTGATTATTTCAAACCTCTTTGAAAGCTTTACCATCTAGTGACATCGCTTAAATTGCGAAATTAAGACAAAAAATTGCATTTCTTTGAACAGACGATTGCGCTGAGTGATACGACCTTTATGACATCAGTAAACAATACAACTGTATCATTCAATACCGTTACTTGCACCTACATTGGTGTTCAGAATATCCAGATGTTGATATTGTTCAACTCTGATACTCGTCTTCATATAAAAAATTGCAAGTGCAAGTTTATTTAATGTAGAATTAAGATGCAGAATTATAACCCCATCATTTTTAACATATTTTTCTTTTTTTCTTGTAAGTTAGTAACTTTTAACAATTTCATATCTTACACGTACCATTACATCATATCTATACTCAACAATTATCATTTTTTGTTTTAAAAAAATAAAAAGAAAAGATATCACCCAGGTAACAAACTAATGCTAAAAGCAAACAAGATAGATAACAGTACTTTTTTTATTATTATCCCATTTCATTTTTAACCTTCCTATAACGTTGCCAGATCGATAGTTGAGGTTGAACTTTTCATAAATTAGTCTAAATATTCTCACGTGAATTTTGCGGCAAAACTTGTTCAGGTGGTCTTCAATATCCTTTCTTCGAATTCTATCTTTGCAATATGCACAGACCACGGGGGCATATTCGCATGTACTTCCTATGTGACCCTTTACGTTCCAAAAGAAATTAAATAGCAGTAAAATTTATAATGAAGACGCACATGACAAACACATTCTCGTTAACTAGAAAAGGACACTAAAAATAGAAAAGATAGATAACAGTACTTTTTTGAAAATTTCTCAGCGCAACTTACCTTCAATTCTTGATAGGGGCCAAGCCATTTGCACTTTTCATTGGGACAATGTAAAACAATACAATTCAACTCCTGCTTTATGTCATCATTTGGAAATATCTGTATAAAATCATAGAAATCCAAACTTTTTTTAATTTAACTGTATTTTAGTAAACGAAACGGCTGTTGAACGTGCATAGGTTTCCATCGTGCTAATGAATTCAATGAAGTTTTTCTTTTCAAACAACTTGAAGCCGACTGATAAGAGCAATGTGGAACAGTTTTTATCAAAACTTTGTCCTATTCCATTAAAACATTTCACTTACATTGTTTCTGTTCAAATGTTCTTCATCTTCAGTACATTTTGGATTAGGACGTCTGCAGATTGATCAAATATGAAAACTTGTTACAATTTTTAGGGGATTAATTTTGCTTGAACAACTTCATGAAAAACAAATATAGAGCTACAAAAATATCGGTTTATAGGGATTTATTTGAAAAGCATCATTGAAGTAAAAAATGATCGACAGTTTTAACGTAGGCACAACAATGGGATCTAGATAATGTCTAGATAATGAAAAAAAGTTGGATTATATGAAGACACAAGGAGACAAATGAAAGCACACATAATCAATTACTGTACACCTGATTGGCCAATTTAATTTGCAATGTTATCTAGACACTACTTCCAAACATAAGATTAGAAAAAAATTTCCTTACCCAAGAAGAATCTCGATACAAGATTGACAAAATGAATGTTCACAAGATGTTTGTATTGGATTGACAAGAAGATCATCACAGTAAGTACATATATATTTAGAGTGGATATTTTTCCTATCTTCATCTCGAATCTTGGTCCCTACCATTGTTGACTAGAATCAATTTTATCTAGTTTAAAATAAACCATTAATCCCTTATCATCTAGTTAACTAGCATTTATCTAACTGATACAAAATTGCTCTAATTGCTTGATGAAAATGACATGAAAATAAAAAAAAAAAATTTGAGAAAATCAATGAATGGAAATAAGATGTAGTATCAGGATTAATTCTTATCAAAAGTATTTAAAACATGTCTACAATCATGAAGCAAATGCCATACTCTGGGAGAGAGAGAGCGAGGGCTCTCCTAATTGATGGGATGAACAGTCAAGTAATCAAAACATCCGAGCAACGAATTCATTTGTTAAAGTAAAATATTATGAGCTTTCATAAATGAAACACAAAACAAAATCCAAATACTTCGATAGCCGATACTCAAAGAAACGTCTATTTTACCCTTGAAGCCTAATTCACAATTGTCCTGAGAATGATACTTCTAAAAATAAAATTAAGTGCTTATAATGTGCAGGCAAGTTGAATCGTCGGTTGTGTATTCACTATTTATAAAAAGTATTAATTTAAATAATGAAAATACGAAACTTCCATAATTGACTGTTTCAATTTACATTCAAAGACATGAATGTAAACAATGTAATTTTGATCAAAATAATGAAAATGAAGACCAACTATTGTCCCATTTATGTAAAGTAAATCAAGATTTTAACATCACCATACTTACAAAACCACATCGCAATGCAACTAAATTGCTAAAAGAAATAGACACCAGGAATAGCGGATATAAATTCACAAACTAAAATTGAAATTAATCATTTCATTTCCTTAGAAATTTATCATTATCTAAATAATAAACAAATGCCAAGGGTGCTACGCAACATTATTTCGCATCAAAATTGTGATGCAAAAGGGCTGGAGACTATGAAATATGAGTCGACTTCTTGGGCAATAATACATAATAAAAGTGAAAGAACCATATTGTGATGAAATCCGATAAAACACGAGTGCATCTCGTGAATTTGAAACCAGCTGTGTGGATCTGTCTGTTGTATGTCAACCCATTGGTTCAAATATACAAACAGATCAGAAATTTCCATAAAATCTATGAGCCAAAATTTACTTAACTCATAACGCAAATGTAAATATTTCCCTTATCTAATTTTTATACAACTACGAAGATTAACTATCAAAGATCGCTTTCTTATTCATGCCCATTCAAGCATTTGTTGACTATCTTGTACCACACCTATCAACCGTTTCCATTTATCTGGGTTGGCGTAGGTAAAAATAAATTGTTCAAAAAGTCAAATTAAAAACAGTTCAAGATTGCAATTTGAAGATCCAAAACATCATGATTGATCACATAAACGGATACAGTTATGTCGACGACATGACACTTTATATATGTCCTTCGTTAATCAGCTGTACGTTCATTTTGACAAAGAAATCTCAACTTCACAGATACTTTACTATACCTACAAGCATATATTACGATTGCTTGTGCAGCGGTGCAAGATGCGATTTAAAATTCTACTGATTCATAGCAAGTGCTACTTGTCTTCCGTTCTACTTCTAAATAGTCCACAAGATCATTGTCTATAAATTGTTTAAGTTAAGCAATCACAAATTTTATACGTATGTTTTTTTTGCCGACATGTGATGTCGATATACATGTCCCCACCAGGGATGTACTTATGTTCAACCCATACACTCGCTTTACGTTAATATAAAATCGTATTCAACGACACTAAAAGGACACTTTCATTAGGGGGCATGACAGCGACCTAACATCTGCTATAAGCACTTCAGGATGTATGGAAGTTTGAGATACGTACCAGTGATATGTATATTAGACTGGATAACGCATTTTTTGCGAAAATTGAAGCCGGAAGATCGATCATTTGCTACTGGCTTCATGGGGGCTATCGGTCCCACTTTACTATACTTTTGTATTAAAAAATCACAGTTTTCGCATTTGTATTCCTTTTACAAACTTCTGATTAAAGCAAAATTCTTCTCACATGTAGAGGAAAACCGGCAGAGAGTTTTAACCCTAAAGGTCTTTTTTCTTGGCTTTGTAACGACTGAAAAATAAGATGGCAAGTTGTATTGAAATTTCAAAGTTGAAGGTGACGAGGACAATTTAACCGTGCTAAGCATTTTTTGAAGATGAATACTAAAATTACAAATTTACAACAAAGTAAGAACAAAGATATTCATATCTTTAACATATTCATCGATATTGAAGTTGTTCACATAGGAACTGGTTGAAAACTTTGCTTCGCTTTATGACAACAGAGGTACTTTAATTCGCCTATTTTGATGATGTACATCTCGTAGAGTTTGATGATACCGTTTTCAACTTACTATTGTTCATCAAAATGTCTTTCTGATTATTTTTCTATGTCGATTTGTTTTGTTTCTTCACTGATATAATAAAAACGTAATTTGAAATTATTATGATATTAGCGATGTGAATAACAAAGTGTTGTTAAATAAGTAAATTTGTAGCAATCTTCCATAAACGTCATTGTAGATAAAATTTTGGTAGCAGTAGTAGGATTTTGTAATATTTCTCCATTTTTTATAAAGGAGCAGCATCATATAATCTCCAGTTTGTTTCAAAACAATGAAGGTCGACCTTGTACCATCTCAATTTTCAGCCATTATAAAGCCAAGAAGACAAACTTTTTAGGATTAAATATATTTGTCGGTTGTTCTGTCCCTAACTATATTTTATACATGAATGCGTTATCCAGTGTAATGTACATATCAGTGATACGTACGTCAACGCTATATTTCTGAGGGTCTCTATTTCAGTAGTTTTTCGTCTTGGATTGAGGATTGGCACATGGGACATGTTGATCGTTATGGTAATTTTACTCAAAAACAGTTGAGATTGCTTAATTCATGTAAATGAAGTGCATAAATACAAACTCTCGTACCAGTTACCAATTTATTGTATACCATTAGATTTTCTACTCTTCATACTCAATTCATCATTATATCTGATGTGACTACAAATCTTACATAGTTATACATTACAAGAAAAATTGTTCTTTGAAAGAACACATTTCATATTTTTGAAAACAAGCGAAATACTACATCCAAACTACTAACCGATTAACACATTCGAGCGATGTTATAATGGGAGCAAGCAATATCAAAATAAGAAAGTATTAAAACCTGAAATATATTTATGCGCGCTTCACCTTTAAAATTTCAACTTTTAGTTGGGAATGCAACGTTTAGATAAAGCTAAATTTATTAACGTTTGATATTTCTGACAGGGGCGGATTTATAGCTATATGCTACAAAAAGACTCTACTACAAATCATACTTTATATTGTTGTTAAAAATTAACCAAAATTTAACACGAACATGACTATTAAATAGCGACAATATATGGAGAAACAAAATTTCTGTTACGTAGTTTAGATGTAAACATGCAACATGAATTGTGAGAAAATAAAGCTCAACTAAAATCCCGTCGCTTACGCAAACGTTACATGACTATTATTACAAAATTTTGAATACTTACGTAGATATTTAGGAGTACAAATAGCCGTTGTTGCAAACAGCTTGAAGTTGCCGTGTTTAGCTCGACTCTTTAAAAACGAACAAAAAATTGGGGGAAATTCCTAGCGCTTAAGGGGAAGTCCCGAATAAAATAGCACGTGATCCAATTTCAAATATTTACTGTTTCCTAAATATTACAAACCAAAGAAGCCATGCAAAATTCATATAAACGTGAAATTAAGCAAACTCTATGTCGTCATTGTTCTACGTCACTAGGAAGTCATGTGAGATAGAGCGCGCGATATCAAGATCAGTTCGAGCGTAGATTTCACAGCATTATCAGGCCAAAAATTTCTTTTCCACACTATATTACATAAAATCGTTTTATTAAAGTCCGTAAATACATCCTTTTTTTGCATGAGAAGGTATCACATGATCATCTTCAGCTTGAGTCAATACAAAATGATGGTTACAATCAATATCAGTATTCTATGAATTTTTCCCTTTAACTCTAATGAAGCAACTTATCTGTGTCAAAAGCTCTTTTATTTTTAAAGGTAAAAAAATGTTTTACTGAGTTTAACAAATCGCTATCAAAGTTTATTTCTAGTTCTTAATTTTCTAATCAAGTCTTATGCCAAGCAACTAATTAAGAGGTTTTTTCTCGGCAATAAGTATTAGAAGGATTTCTTTAAAAAGTCCACACTGTTCAAGTTTTTCTATTTTCTTTTCAATCACAGGACGCTTGCACTGCGATTAGCTAGTTTAGCGTACTTATGGGTCAGATTTATAATTGTGGTTATCATGAATCAATAAAATATAAAATTTTCAAAATAACAATTGTGGAACTGGTGGATGGGGCTCTCTTACGCTACATTTAATTAGCAATTTCATTTTTTTTATTCAATTGTACTTACAGAACATTGAAACGGTAGGTCTTCACAGACTCTTTATTTATGTATGGAGTTTTTCAGATAAAACTTACAGTAATATATATTGCAAATAAAAGGACATCATTTTATGATCTTGCTATATCAAAGCTGCATGTTAAATTACATTTACAATACAATATAACATAATAACAACACAATTGTATTATTAATTCACAAGGATATTCTATCATCGTGGATTTATGATACAATAAAAAAATACAATGAACATTTTTAAAAATTACTAAAGTATAAAACTGAATAGATAAAAATCCTTTACGGGAGTGAAAAATAATAATAAATTGGCAGGTAGTTACGAAAAATAGCAATAATTGCTTTGCATGATTTCATCAAAGTTCGGGAGCCGCATTTTGTGCTTCCATATCGTCTACCTCATCCAAACGCTCGGTATTCCATTGTATAGCAGATGTATTAGCTCTCACTTCACGCTCTAAAATTTCAATTCTCCTTTCTAGGCCTGTAATTTTTCCAACTAAAATCACAAATTTGTCCCAAAGATTGGCACGAACAGCACTGATTCGGTCGCCCAAGTTTTGAACAGCAGTAGTAAACTCTGGACGCGGTACATAGTTACTTAACTGTGTAACAAATGCCATAACATATCGTAACAAGGCGCTCACGGGATTAATTTGACTCATATGTTGACGGGTTTCCTTTTGTTTTAAAGTCTGCGAAAAAAAGAAAAGATAATGGCAAAGCATTATTTTCCACAAAATAGCGTTACTTGCAACTAATTTCGGTTATTTTAATCTAAATATGATGAAGAACAAATTTTGTTTCCTCTAAGTTCTGAAATCATTAAATTAATAAGAATGCACAAACGTGCCCGTTTTCAAACAGAGAACCTATACAAATCAAAAAAACCCAAAAAACAAAAAAACCCCATAATTTCATTTCTATACTCAAAATATTGGTATCGGTGGTGCTTATCTTTGTTTTGAAGTTCTATATTTTGGCAATAATAGGTAGTAAAAACCCATGGGGGATATGTAAAGAAATTACGCCCAGGTGGCTAAATACGGTGACTAAAACACCGTACTCAGAGTTTACATAATCTAAAATTGGTGACTTTCAAAAGAACAGATAAATCATTAAAAAAGCTTTTCCTTTTTTTTGGTAAAAAATTTGCTATGCATTAATTTTTTATGATCATTCTTGTCGGAGGGGTTTTAAAGCTCACCCCATCCCCCCGGTCAGTTGACATCCTTACACTCATTTAGTTCACCCTTGATGTCATGTTCAACTTTGCTAAATATTGTTAAACATATAATGCTCATATTTTGGATACATTTTCATTAACATGTTTTCCGTAGAAATCAAATATATTTTAAACTTAATAATTCATTCATATGTAACATTAAAAAATCAACTGCTGTATTCTTCGACAATTACTGCTGTCCTTCAAATTAAGAGCAAAGAAGTCAGTTATACTTAATGGATCAACTATGACCGGTATTTGCCACTCTCAATCAAATTAACTGCAAATTTACTAGCAAATCAAAAATATGAAACAATGTCCATCCCATAGTTAGGTCTAAAACTGTAAATTACACATTTTTATTGTCAAGTATATAACCAATAGATATTTATGCAAAATTCTTATTATTTGATAATAAAAATCACAGTTGAGAGCAGAACATGAGAGTATATCAGAGCAAAATGTTTAGCAAAGCCTCAGCAATGGTGGTTCATATTGACACAGCAAATTTCGTACGTCTGAGAAGTAAAAACCATAACAGCAAATAATCTATAAAATTATCCTAAGACCCATAAAATATCACATTCTTTATAAGATTTTGATTACCGACAATGTTTGAAAACAGAAATAAGAACAGAAGTTAAGTCTAAATGTCCAAATGTGACGCAAGATTTAGAATTAATATGGCCTTCAATATGTTTTGTTTGTAGCATGAGAAATACAACATCTTTAGTAAAAGATTCGTTAGGTTGGTAGCAGTTCTCGCCTTAATTTGTCAAAACTCACTGTACCATCTCACTTATGAAAGTATCCCAACTGCGTGCAATTAAAGTTAGGATAAACACACACGACTTACACGAGGCTAATTGAGAACAAAGACATTTACAAGTTTAACGGATTTTTATTTTTACTTACTTTCTATTCCCCAAACAAAAACATAACGGGGATAAATAAATGAAAGACAAGAAGTCCATCCTGACGATATGATCCACTGAAAATGTTCAACTTTTCAACTGTAAATTTTTTCAATTCTTAATTTTATAAAAATTAAGCGTAAGCAAATTTCGACACATTTAAAGCCAGTCAGTGATGCCAGATGAAATTTTAAAATTTCATGCGCGCCTGCGTCAAAAGTTCATAAAAATGGCAAAAGGTTCATTTTACATCTAATTTTTAAGATCGGAAGTTAACGGATTAACTCGGGAATTTTCAGAAAACCTCGGAAACTTTCGAAAACTCTCGGAAGTATTCGTTCTGAAAGTACTGTCGAGCTATGAAGATTTTCTTTTCATTGAACTATGATTTATCTATACATTCTTTATGAAAATGACGAAAATACAAAAATGCATAATATATAGAAAAATTCACAAAAGTTCACAAACTTTTAATGTTCATGAAATGTTCATGAAGAGAGCAAAAAATTCATAAATCTGTGATTTATCGCTCCAGTTGTTATACAGTTCACTGGCACAAACCAATAAACCAGGGACGGCAGAGCAACATATAAAGAGGCTAAGTCTTCAATTCTACTATAGTGTCTTAACAAACACTTTTAAAGAACAATTTTAGCTCAGTCTAAATATCTTTATTGCAAAAAGTGGGGGACTTCAGCCCCTCCTGTTCCGGCGTCCCTGTGAACAACGCCACGTTAAATTTTCGAGCAAGTTAGTGCACCTCACGTTACAGTAAGTATTAGCCAAAATTTAACAAAATTTTATAAGGTCAAAAATCACACGACAATTCGATACACAACTGTTTTGTCAGCATATAAGCAATTATATAATTTACAAAGCAAGACAATATTCGTGGGAAGACTTCTCGTGTGACTTCCTAGGTAATTTATGTAATTAATGTAGTACCTTTTAGACTTCTATCATTCACTTTGCTTGACGTTGACGTATATCGTATGTAGTACCTTTCGGACTTCTATCATTCACTTTGCTTGACGTTGCCGTGTATCGTATGTAGTACCTTTCGGACTTCTATCATTCACTTTGCTTGACGTTGACGTATATCGTATGTAGTACCTTTTAGACTTCTATCATTCACTTTGCTTGACGTTGCCGTGTATCGTATGTAGTACCTTTCGGACTTCTATCATTCACTTTCCTTGACGTTGACGTATATCGTATGTAGTACCTTTTAGACTTCTATCATTCACTTTGCTTCACGTTGCCTAGGAAGTCACAAAATAACTCATTCACTCTATTTAGCACTAATCATTTGGATAGTTAGGTGTTAAATGGTTTGACACAGGGGTGGTCTGTGTGCCAAATATCTGTATATATGTTTATTGAGTCGAGATTAGGATTCATGTTTATGATGTCCTAAGTTGACCACACCATCAGATCTCAATTAACACCTTCATACCAATAAGGTGGTAGTACGTTGGACATAAAGAGAACAAAATAAAAAAAGCACCTTCACCCCTTTGGTGCATGCATTTGTTCGCTGCGAGCTCCATCGTGTTCGGTGATTGTTGCTCTGAAGCAACGCCATTCAGCAAAGGGTTAATTCAACAAAATTCGCTTGCATCCTCATCAATAGTGGACTGCAGCCCTCACAAGACAGCGGCAATATGTATTTTGTCGCGCGTGTTGTGCGTTGCGGTGCATGAGTTTAGCGAAGACTTTGGTGCACGTACACTGCACGTACGCCACTGTTTTTTTTTCCTTTGACCCATCGCTTCATGAATTTTTTCGCCGACCGAGCTCCATTGTGTTCGGTGATTGTTGCTCCGAAGCAACGCCATGCAGCAAAGGGTTAAGTTTTAGCATTACGGTTTACTGTTATGTGCTCCATGTAGGTATTGATTGTCAAGTCTACGCCTCATATGTCTGTCGCTAAAAAGCTGTTAACTTTGCAAGTTGCTTGTTCTCATTTAAAATATACATGCATGTAAAATTGCGTGATCGCAGTATATTTCTTTCTCTTATAGAACTTGACTGGATAACTTTACAAACAATACACTGGCAAGACATGAAATAGCTAATTTTTGTAATATAATTCACAATGCTTTTGCCGTCTTGTTCCGCCATGTTGATTTTTCAATTAATGCAAACCCCAACTGTGTTACACAGCTATAGTTTGAAGACCTACGCAAACATCAACAGCCGTAAAATTACTGATATAGAGATGACATGGTGTGTATTTGTTATATTGCCATAGATTGATCAAAGAATGGCCTATATTTTCGAAAAAGATCGGCCTTGGCGGTAGGTTATTTTATTTTAAAACTACACATCTTACGAACGCTTAGAATACAAAAATATAATAAAAATAAACGCCATTCGTGAATCGTAAACATTTCGAGAGTTTCACATGGCAACTGTAAGACATGATCATTTTAAATCTTTAACGCTCTGAATTTTCGTGTTTTTCATACAAAAAATTCCATGAAAACGATTTCTAAGAAATAAGCTCTTGCTCTGTCACAGTGTTATCCCGTAAAATATGTTTCACCTTGGAAGAAAGCGCCTACAATATATTATTGGCAAAAGAACCATGTCTTTTACCAGCAACCTACTCCTTCCTTTAGTAAGTTAGTATAATAATATAACATAAATAGTAATCGTTTGAATCGGTTGCGAAAATCAAACTCAATGGAGATTCGTACGATGATGTAGATATAAACAATGTTCTTACCATCGAAGGTATCTAAAACTATAGAATTTCTATGTGCAAAATATTCTTTATTTTTGTCTTATGACGTTTAAATTTTATCGAGCAGTAATGTTTGAAAACTACACAATCTAAATACTTCGTATGAACAATGAAAATACCATAGAGTCGATTGTTTACTAATATGCATTTTATAAACTTGAGACTGTTTTGTGTACGTTGTATTCAATGTATTTACAATACATAATAACACTGTCAATATTTTTGCTTATCTTCAAATACATTTTCCCCAGGAGTAACAGATTTCACGGGGGTAACATAAACCACTGTTATATCACTTATAGCAAAGAATAGAGATCACAAACTCTCGTCGGAGCATTGAAATTTTTGTCTCCAAGACGCCATATTGAGAGGTCTCGTTCAACGTGGCATTATATCGACAATTATAGTGAAATATCGGTTTTTCGTATTTATCGTACTATGGCGCTTTAACATTTAGAAATGCATAATGCCTTATGCGAGACTTTTTCTTTACTTTTTTTTTGTTATATACTATTGATAACTTGGGTGTATAACTTTTTATGTACAATATCTGTTAGACGTATTCATAATCGATTTTTTTAACATCGAATAACTTAATAAAAGTCCAATGCTTCTTGTTCTTCGAAGTGCTTAGATGTTTGTTGAAAAACATTTGATGAACAATGCAATATTAACGCTGAGAATTGTATTTTTAACAACAATATAATAGTATTTCTAAGTGAAATTTCCCAAAGGCTTTCTTTCAATATGGCGGCGATACCGGAAGTCAAACGACTTTTGAGACAAAAAACACGTATCTCAAATGGATTGGATAACGCAAAAATTAAAAACGGAAGGAGTCAAAGTTGGGGACCCACTTTTCTATAGATTTGTATTACAGATTCATAGTTTTTGCAATATTTTGTCTTTTCCGTGTTTCTGATCGGACCAATTTTCCTATCCTAACTATAGAAATGCGTGGAGAAAATTTTGGACGGAAAGTTTGGGTTTCACAACGCTGTGAAACTTGGAATGAACAATTTCGATAATGCACAAGCTTATTCTAAATTTAAGGCGGATGATTCTTAACAGAAAATCGATTCCAAATACAGAGTTAATGATCAGGGCTTACAACATTGTTATATTGAAATAACCAAAAATTTTCGTCCAAATTATTCTCCACATCCTTCACTAGTTGTGATCAAAAAATTCAAAATATTGCAAAAACTTTGATTCTGTAATACAAATCTATAGAAAAGTGTGTCCCCAACTTCGATTCGGGCAGATTTACTTCCGGCTTACTTTTTACTAGAAATTTTGAAAAATCATGTTGAGTGAGACCTCAGTGTGATTTCTATTATGGCTAGCTGATCCAGGGTAAGAAAAAATAAATTATGGGCGGTATTTTTAAATTTAAAATATCTCTAAAACAATGCCATTGGCTATGAAGTCGCTACCGGAAATTGAATCATTAGCAGAAAGAACTGAACAGCTTATAGATTAAAGTGCAAGTAAAACGAAAATGTGGTATCATTTTATATTTTCATTGTATTTTTATTTTCATTTTAACTGTAATAAATTCGAAATATCACTATATCTTATTTTGTGCTTTCTTTGATCGCAAATTATGAGCTAAAGATGGAAATTATTTTCTGAGTTTGTTTCGTGTTACGTGTATAACTCTCAAAACTACAGTGGACGTTTTAAAACAATTCATCTACACAACCAGTGACGTTATATTGCGTAATTGTCGTTGCAAATTTATAAATATCCTTCCTTTTTGTGACAACTTTTGAAAGAAATACTATTGGAGTATTTTATAAAATTAACACTTTAAAGCGAGTGAAGCTCAGTCCATTTGATGTAACTTATCAGCAAATATTCTTGATCATTCCATATCTCATTATGCAATGTGACGTCACTAGTTGTGTGTAAAACGGTCATTTGAAAACTTCGACATCTTAAAAAAAAGAAGTCTACTGTCATGTTCTCTTCAACAAAATTGTTCTCTTCAATAAAAATGTCAATTTAAATAAGCAAAAGTCTCGTTTTACTAAAACTTTGAAAGAAAACTATGATCAAAATGACATTGTCATGAGTGTAGTGAGCCACAAATACAATTTTTTTTTATCTATTTACGCAAATCTCAGTCTGTTAAATACTTTAAAACCTAACTAATTTTTGTCATATGTTTCCACTTGTTTGATAAAATTTTGTTTTACTCTGTTTTTCTAACATAATATTTTAATGATATAGTAACCTTTGAGAGAGTCTTTATCAGTTGCCAAACATTTAAACATTAGACTTTCGCTTCATTGGAATCTGCAAATGAAAAACAGTAACTGTAGCAATATTACCGTAGTCAGCATGCTATATTGGTAAATAATTGGCTTCATAGAGTGGCTACTATCAGGGTAGCGCTTAGTCTCGAGTTGTTGTCTTCAGCATCAGTTGACTCTAAATCCACGCTTTATAAAACGGTATTTTTTTTATTTGTTTGAAGTTGTAAAGTTGCCATAGTTGACACAAATGCACACATAAGCAATTTCACCGTCAGCTACTTTGCATCGTAAAATATAATTCTTAGTTTAAATAGAAAGTCTCAAAGTAGTGTACAGTACTCCTTCTTCCATCTAACAATAAGTGTTACTAGCTCAACTTCATGTTTCCATTATTGCGCCTGGTGTTTTCAAAAAAAATTTCAACTAAAAAGTAGCACAAAAAATAAACCTCCACCCTCTATCCTCCCATTTCAGTGAAATGAAAAAATCACGGGTCAATCCCACGATGAAATCAACAAATGCTAATTAAGATTTATTATTTGTTACAAGCATTTACTCGTTTAGAATTTACGACTAAATGATCACTTGATTAATATTGAAATATCAGACAAAATTAACGTCATGTTTAAACTATCACCACAGAATAATGATTAGGTGTACACTCAGGTGTACAACTTGCCTCATGTCGGCCTAGATGATTAGGATTTCTTACTGGTTTCCAGCCGTTAAAATTACATGACGTCAATACTTAATAATGAACTCAAGAATATTTTGACTTAAGAAATGACTTCGGATCATTTTGAAGATTTGGAAAAAGTCAAAAACCCTAATCATCTGGCTGGAATAATGGCGGCCACCATGCGCGGCACGACATGCGCGAGGACAAAAACGTCAAAGGTTCCGACACGAGTGACTCTTCTGTATATTCTTATTCTGTGCTATCACGCTTAAATTATTATGAAGCATGTGTCGCGTAATTTAGTACGCGTGAGCAATTTTGCGTGAAAGTTTGTTTTAGACTAGCCTCTTTTTGCGCATTCTCCGTTCCAATAATCCCATAGTTTAAAGGTAGTAAAAAAACTCGGGGGGATAAGTAAAGAAAACACGCCCAGGTGGCTAAAACCTGTATGATGTTTCTCTGATCGTGAAAACACCGTACTCAGAGTTTACATAATCTAAAATTGGTGACTTTCAAAACAACAGATAAAAACATTAAAAATGTTTTTCCTATTTTTTTTGTAACAAATTTAATTTGCATTAATTTTTTATGATCATTCTTGTCAGAGGGGTGCTAAAGCTCACCCCCCCCGGTCAGTTGACATCCCTACACTCATTTGGTTCACCCTTGATGTCATGTTCAACTTTGCTAAATATGTTAAACATATAATGCTCATATTTTGGATACATTTTCATTAACATGTTAACCATAAAAATCAAATATATTTTAAACTTAATAATTCATTTATGTAACATTAAAAAATCAACTGCTGTATTCTGCGACAATTACTGCTGTCCTTCTTTATATTGTTAAATGACGGTTATGCCCCCTTCTTTTGTGACTACTCCCTCCCAAGACAGAAAATCCTGGCTACGACACTGCCAGCCACAAAAATGGGGACGTCGGTAGGACAAAGAAGTTATGGAGGACATACTTGGCAAAAGGGTTTTCTGGAACGAGCAAAAAGCGAGTGAAATTTTCACTTGCTGAAACTTTTCCACGTTAGCCTCTGCAGTGAGACAGAAAACGATTCAAATATTAGTTCACTCAAAAGTCTAGTTAATGAACTTAGACGTGTAACACTAACTGTTCGTTTCTTTGTTTGTCGCACAGTTCGCCTACATTGTAATATTTTATAAAAGCTCTTGTAGTTAGAGCATCTGAGAAATATCAAAATGCTTTGACGGATATCCAGTGGGCAAAAGAGACAATTTTCCTTGGTTTGCGGCTTAGTGAGTTGCTAGAAAATATTGAAAATTGGAGGTGGCGAGCCATTGTTCACAATTTAGTTTGACGTAGTCATAATTTGTATAGCCAAACTTAGGCGTGGGTGAAAACTGATAGTTTAGCAGGAGCTTCAGAGAAGGGGGTCTAAAGCTCCTTAGTTTCCCTAAAAGAGGATAGTTACAACTCATATTACATAGGTTTTAACAAATGCATGTTGGTAGAAAACAAAATGAAAATCTATAGGTAACATAATTCTTAACAAGAGAATAAACTTTTTGTTGTGAAATATGAATAAAAAACTCAGTAAAAGACGTTCTGCAAATGTCATAATGCGTGCTATTGTAGCGTCATGATTTTAAAATACTATAATCGCATAGCGTTTTTATTTTTCTCTATTTTTTAGTTTACAAATATATCTATGATTACATACACATATTTTTACTATATTTTCATCACGATGATTTCTTGTAGGCGAAACACAGTGTTTAGCCATTATGTTAGTAACAATAAAACAATGAAATAGTATATTCTTATTTTGCAAGTTCTGTGAATGTAATACATAAAATTACCTTATTAATTATAACAATTAATTATATTATGTTATGAATAACTATCAAAAAGTATTTTAAAAACACAAAACAAAACAAATGACACTGGGTAAAATGTATTACGTGCTAAAAGAAACGTGCTTTTAAATTTAGGAATTGTTCAGTCAACAATCATCTTCATAAAGAGGGTATCATCTTTAATATACTGACGATTTTTCAAACTTTCCAATGCCATGAAGAGAGGTGATCCACAAGCGATATTCATGTCTGACTTTGGTCGCTGAAATGAGGAATTTTGAGGATCTGAATGAAAAGCATCAATCATGTGATCACCATTTCCTTGATCCATTAACATCATTGTGATCTTCTTTTGGAAAGGCCATGTTTGAAGTGCATCGTAATCACCTAAGAGCCATCATAAAGTATTCAAAAACATACATGTGGTGGACAGATTTTCGAGATATATACATAAGAACGAATCAACAATTGACTCATTCATTTGTGTGCATTACTATGTATGGATCATTAAAAATATGTTTTGCAAGAATTTCATCTTTCCTGTACGTGCACTTTTTACGTCAAATAAATTTGCAGAGTTCAAACATAAATATCCTAGCTCGAGACAAACATAAAAGAAATGAAAATGACGGCAACGAACAATTTTTCCTGTGCGCCTGCAAATGAAGATTACCCCTCAAAGAGCTTGGCTAAAAGGCCAGGGCAATCTGTAAAACTTGAGCGGATTACTATGAAAGTCGAAAAAAATAAGAGTAAAAGTGCTTGACGTCTAATTATATGAAAACAAACGATAATCACAGAAAAAATAGCTACATCAACTGACCGAGATAATTTTAAGAGACTGGAAACTTATGCAAAAAGCTCGAAGCAAATGACTTATAGAAACGATAACTTAAACATTCAACTTAAGCCGCCGCTACTAGTTCAAGCGAATTTTTTGACGCAACTTTTTGAAATTATCAACAAACGTTGAAAATCTTTAGTGTAGCCACCTTCGAACGCAAGATCAGACAGCCAGAAAAGACAAAATAACACAGAATTGTAACAGATAAAAAATAGTTGGAGATATGCAAATGATCTGTACCTTTCACGACAACAAAAAACAAAGATAAATGAGTTCCCTTTCCAAAACCATCACCATTCATATAGATCTTAGCACACATCTTGTAACCATATTGAGGACTGTAGAATGGTGGACTGTACAAGGCTTTTTTTATACCATTAATGGCGTTCTGTCTCTTTCGATTGAAGTTATCTATTTTCCAAAGTAACGTACCATTGTAGCTGTGTATGGCCTGATTCAACCCAAGTGTACGCGAACCACGTTGCGATTCAAGGTCCGTAATCTTAACCGTGTTTCTCGCAAGTGATTCGTCATTTTGATCTAAACGTTCACGAAATCGTTGTATAATTGAGTAAATCTCACTTGTCGCGCGAGAGTCGCACATTTTTCGCTGTTTAAGGAATCATTCACGAAGCACTGTGCGTACATACGACTGCTATAATCAGCCAAGTTTTGAACAGCAGTGGTAAACTCTGGACGTGGTACATAGTTACTTAACTGTGTAACAAATGCCATAACATATCGTAACAGGAGGCTAACATGATCAATTAAATTGTCATTCATATGTTGTCGGATCTCCCTTCGTCTTAGAGTCTGTGAAAGAAATACAAAGATAATACCAATATATTCCTGACACAAAATTACAAATTAGCTACAATAAATCGTTGCTTCAAAACAAATATAATGAAAACTTTAAGACTAAATCTTGTTTTTATACGCAGTAAAAAAATTGTTGTTTCAAAATAAATATAAATAAATCGAAGCGTTTTTGATAAAAATTTTGTTTGCAAACAGTTTCAAAGTTGTATATTTCATTACTGACATGAAGTTGTAAAACAGTTTATATATTCTTACTCTATCATAACTGCATCCAATAGCTTGAAATTCACATTCAGTCGGCACTTCATCACAAGCTGTCGTTTGATGTTGTTCAATATCTTTCCTTGGTATCTTTTTCCCACAATACTCACAAACCACAGGATAATATTCACACACATTTTCTATGTGATCCTAATGTTAAATGTAAAAACTTAGAAAGTAAAATCCGGTATAATGTCTTGAAATATAGAAAGATGGTTGGTAAGAAATGATACACAAAAATATAATGACGTTTAAAGTCATACAATTTTATAAATTAAAAAACAGGAGAAAAGCGCTCATATATTACTCTCCTGTTTTTTGTACAAAAGGTCCAAGATATGATCCAACGGGTATAAATACATTGTAATGAATACAGATTAGCACTTTTGGCTATATCTCAATTCTATTTTTCTTTAATCCGCCTGAGAATACTCCGCATCCCTTAAGTGAAGCATACGGGACATCTTTACCACAATATTCACATTTCACGTTTCGATATTCACATTCATTCTTCAAATATTCATCAAGAAGAGAGCGAGGTAGCTGAATGTTACACTGCTTGTGTATACAGCTGATGAGCACATGCTCACAAACTTGAGAATGACCCTGACGAAAAAGAAACTTAGTGATTAAAAATACCAAACTTTTTTAATAAATTTCTCAATTCAACTCACTTCCAATTCTTCGTAGGAGCCAAACCATTTGCACTGTTCAGAAGGACAATGTAAACGAATACTTTTCAACTCACGTTTCGTAAAAGCATCAGGGAAAACCTGTATATAGGTTTCATAGAAGTTCAAAGGTTGGTGTAATAATTTCACATTGGTAGATGAAGAATATTTTACAGGAGTTTCTCAATCAACAATTGATACAGCTGTATGGAAGTTTCTTTTTAAAACTCTAGAATATTTTCACCTACATCATTTCTGCTCAATTTTTCTTGATCTTCGGGACATTTTGGATCAGAACTTCTACAGAATAAACGAATGTGAAAACTACAGGGTGCATCATAAAAATTAAAAAACTTAAATATCGAGAAAACTATCATTCCATCAAATTTCTCAAAAATCTTCCCGCGTTTATGCATTTTGGCATCGTTTGGCTTATATTAAAGTAAAAACAATCAGAAAAATTACCCACGAAAAGCGGGAGAGCAATTTTTAAAGGCCTCAATTTTAGCCACTTGCGCAAAGAAAATGAAAAGTTTAAAATCTAAATTATTTCGAACGGGTGAAAGTTTGAAGTCTGTTGCGCATTGTACTAAAATTTTAGATTTACCTCCTTAAATGAAATTAGATTTTAAATGCCTAAATTTCTTATTTAAATATGAGGATTTTACAAAGTACTCTCACAGATTTCGAGATAAATTTTTTTGATTGATTTCACTGGTACATAAACCAGATGCCAAAATACATAGACATATTTTGAAGAAATTTGGATAAAATGATACTTTCACACGTTTTAAACGTTTCTAAATTTTTTGATACATTCTGTAGTAGCAAGAATGTTGAATGTTAAAAAAAGATCATGGTGAGACACGCAAAACACAATCTTCAGTAAACTGCTTGAACCTAGGAATTATGATGAACGTAAACTTACTCCCGTATTGTAACAGCTAACTCACAATCACTGTTTGGAGCTTAAAAATTAGCTTATGATTGTTTGAACACGATATTTTACGTCACTAATTTATTGATTGGAAAAATTTTAGCAAAATCCTTGCCATCGAAGGAGAAATAATTTCGTCATTGATGAATGGGAATAAGATTTTTACGTCGCACTCAGTGAGAGTGAGTATGAGCAAGCTTTTTGAATACGGGCAATAATGTTTGAATTACAGAGTTCATTTATATATTTCTATGCTTTATAACAATTTCTCTTACGAGTTTGAGTTGAATTTCAACAAAGTTAAGTCGATAAATCAGCTTGCAATTGAAGTAACTGACTGACAACAAACACAACATGAATGACTAGTTTCTCCAGTAAATCTTCAGGAGCTCTGATTTGTGAGAACATTTTTAAGTTGATGTGTTATTTGAAAAGAAAAAACGTAAATTATGCTCAATCCATAATATAGATGTGCATCACTTTGTAAAACAAAGAATAGTATACATGTTTGTAAATGTAAATCGTCCAGGTTGGTATAATTCACAATTTCTTGTACACACAATACAATGACGTAAGAACCAGATAACAAATACGGCTAACCTGACGTTTACTCCTCATTTGACTCTGAAGATGATAAACGCTAAGGTTGTCGAAACGTCAGTCAACAACAACAAAAACAGTCCTTCTCAGGACTATACCAACCTGGACGATCTTCATTTACAAACATGTAACGATACTCCCGGGTTCAAACCATTTACTTTAAAGAATAGTATTTTGGAACTCAATCGTCGCACTAAATCTAGTATTTTAAAACATATACAGTAGTTTGATGTTGTACCTATCAAGGCTGCTGACCTCATCGATACCATAGTGGATAGTTGTACAATAATGAGATATAAGACACCACAAGATAGGATAAGATAGGATAAGGTTGAAACACGTGATACAACATTGGATAAGAAGTAACATTGCAAATGATATCCATGATTTTAATAAGTCAGAGCTTCCATTTCACAGTTTTGATAGAAAAATATCTTACCCAAGTATAATGTCGATACAAGATTGACAAAACAAATGTCCGCACATTGTCTTTGTTGGATTGACGAGGAGGAAATGGCAGGAAGTACAAATATTCTTCGCTGGGATTTTATTCCTGTCTACATCACGGATTTTGATCCCAGGCATCTTGAATGAGGGTAATTCTTTTCACAAATAGAATCTAAAATTTGATAAAAAAAATTATTAAAATAAGATCTAAAAATACACGACAATTTGACAAAAGCACTGGAACAGTGGTAAGTAATCATTTTAGTGAGTTTACACAAACTTTTCAGCAATTTCACTCTAATACATGCTCAAAAAACTGTCTGTTTATTTCTCTTTTAGAGCTCATTTCGCAATAAAACCAATAATGCTTCATTCTCTTGTTCGGCCATATCGGATTTATAATAGCTACAATGAAAACCCCAAACTGGGTAACAGAGCAATCTATGTCAGCTGTTACGTATGGAAAACACAAACATTAAGGACGTACGCGAATAGCAAATGCAATAATTTTAATTATGTAGAGAAGAGATGCTAGGCATTTGTTATAGATTGATCAAAGAATGTCCTACATTTCGAAACAGATTGGCTTTAGCGGTATGTTATTACAACGATTTCATAATAGAAAACCTACAAAAGCTTAGAGCATCTTTCTCTCATACAGAAAATTTAGTGAAATAAAGACCTACGAAATACACCGTAGCAATATATTTCCCAATGCTTGTGCTGCACCTATATGAAATCTGTTTACTCTGAGAAAAAACGAGCACAACACATGATTAGGACATAATTAAGGCACATCTTTTAGCTACCAAAGACTGTTACGCTTGCAATATGTTCAACAGTTTAGTCATATAATATCATAATATCAGTTATTCGTCAAAACTGTTTCAGAAATTTCAATTCGATGGAGATTCAAATTTCAAATGGAGACTCGTATTTTATCTAAATTTTAGAATCCCTGTGCGTGTAAGATTCTTCTTACTTCTTTCAGATAACGCTTAACTTTTATCGAGCATTAAATTCGTCAAATTAAACAATCTATAAAGAACAATTCATCTTATAACTTTGTATGAACATGGAAAATGTAGTAGAGTCGATTATTTAGAATATGCATTTTGTAGTTAACAGTCTTCATGAGACGTTGTTTTAGAGTACGTCGTTTTATACATTAACAACAATATTAAATCAACAGACTTTTCGTGCAAATGAATGATATTGGTATTGCTTTTACTCGTGTTCAAAACCCTTTTCTTTAGGAGTAAATGATATCTCAGCGTAACACAAATCACTTCGATAGCACGAGTAGCGAATTAAAGGCTAGGTAAAATATTAGCCGTTTATTCTTTATTCAAAATCTTTTATAACAATGCCATTGGCAACGAGTTTTCAACTATAACAAATTTGACCAATCAATGAGTTTTTGTAATTTATTATTCCTAACGCTGGACTTTTCACTTGAAATCGAATTACAGCAAAAAAGAGCAGTTTAAGAAGTTAAAGCACAACTATGAGTAAAATAACTTTATCAGTGAGCAATGAATATCTCTTCCTTTAACTTCCTTTAACTTCCTATAGTCTCTTTACGCAAAACTCCGTCTGCTAAACACTTTGTAAATGTAACCCATGGCGTAACCTATACGTAACTGGAAGTCTATGTTGCGAACATATGAATCTAACTCAACATTTACCTTCGAGAAAATCTTTATCTGTTGACAAGTAATCTTTAGAGTTTTACAACAATATATATATTGAAGTCTAAAAATAGAAAGTATTGTATATTTTTCAATTTGAAATTCAAAATTAATGAACAATTACTGAATGAGGTTGATATCCTCCGGCTCAATGGTTGAGCATGATATCAAAAATTATTTAGACAAAGGTTAATGTTAGTTGCCGAAGCGAAGCTGAGAAAGAAAAACGATGGATAAAACACCTGAAATGGA